TTCTCCACACTGTCAGGGGGGAATCTCGTCTCGTCTCTCTATATCTCGTCCCCTGAGGTACGGGATCGGGAAAGTCACTTTAACTTTACAGTCAAATAAGACACACACAACGAAATACGTTTCAGCTCTCGTCTTAGTCGATCTTTCGAGCACTCTATAAGACACAGCGCCCTGGGGAAAAGTCCCCAAGACTCTCGCAAGGCTGACCCAAGACTAGCCCAAGACTGGACTGCGTCAAGGCTCGCCCCTGGACTCTCTCGGACTCTCAGACTGGACTCGACTGCCCAAGGCTGCGTCTGTCGTGGAGTATTCGCCAAGACATACTCAAACTCTCTTTATTCATTTTCAAAACTCTAACCAATTACAAAGCAGTAAAAAGACTCTAGGGCGTAACCTTCAATCATAAAGCCAATCACACTAAGTACTGAATACGTCATATCTTTTGATTAATCGTTCACTACATTAATAACTATGGATGTCAGAATAGCGACGGTATCTTGTAATTAGTTCCGAATCACTGAGCCAAGTTCCGTCCAAAACTTCAAATAGACCTAAACGATGACAGACATAACACAGCAATTCGCTAATAATCAGTTAATTAAGTCGACCAACAGATACGCGAAAACAAATTCATGACAGGAGACCTCGGATTTCTCCTAGTGAACGACATCAGTGAAAACGGGGGTGACAAGTCAAGTGGTTATATTCCTAGAGGAGTGGTACAGCGCACTGCCGATAAATTCAAGTTTCCAGGTATAGTGTAAAACGAATTTGGAACCGTTACGTCGAAAATGGTACATGTGAAGCAGCAAAACGAGAAACTGGGAGGCCAAAGAAACTCATTGAGAATGACGTCGCCTACTTGGAAAGCCTGAAGACAAACGAACCTTCCATAACGTATAAAGAAATGAAACAACAATTTGAACAGTTTTCGCCAACTGTAGTGTCAAAGATGACGATATGTCGCGCAGTGAAGACTGCTTTCGCAGGTGGAAAGTGGACGTACAAACGAACAACAAAATCTGCTGAGCAGAGATTCACATTGAGAAATTTGCGGTATACCCAGGCATACTTGGACACCATGCATAATATCGATCCATGGCGACTGAAATTTATGGACGAAAGCGGTTTTAGGGTTACCACTACTGCGAATCCTAATTATGGACATGCTTTGGTGGGCCAGCGATGTGTACAATTTGCTCGGTACGACCCCAATCCTAATATTACATTGAACTTGCTAATAGGATTGCAGGGGGTGGCTCACATTGAAGTCCTTGATGGAGCTTCAAATTCGATGCACTTCGCAGACTTCATTTGGCAGTGTGTAGAGACAGTTGACGAGTACGGTGTACCCGCCCTTCAACCAGGTGACTTCCTAGTGCTCGACAACGCACCAATCCATCACAGTGAGATCGCACAAACGCTCAATATGTGGCTTAATACACAGGGAATAGAAGTCATTTTCACACCAACTTATTCGCCTGAATTTAATCAAGCTGAATTTTGCTTCGGCAAAGTGAAAAAAACACTGGAGCGACCCCCACTATCTATACTTGCATACCACAACTTGGGCGTTGCGATTTATTCCGCTGTGGAAGATGTGTCCGGTGCAGATGTACGCGGATTTTTTGAAGCAACCGGATATTTGTTTGTTCAGTGAAACCTTTGTTTATTTTAGGGGTTGGCAATTAGAGTTATTCCCTGAATTTGATACGTCCTATAGTTTCTATCGGGCCATTCTTGAATGTTGTGTTGAATAGTTTCCATGTGTGCAACATTATACGCAGGGCTGATAATAACAACATTTCGTAGAACATATTTTTATTGTATACACTAATAAAGTACAGCTATAATTACTTCACAAACATACTTTTGACTGGAAGCCGTTTTTTGTATGTGTTATGTTCACACAGTATGTTGTCAAGAAAACAAATTTGACAAATAAATGATCATATAATACTAACATGTTAAAACGACGCATTATTAATGGAATGACTGTTTTTGCTGAATTGCCGATTGTTTCCCTCCGTGAAAACTGTTAATTGAAAGTCATCGAGTCGATAATAATGTCCAAAGGGAGCCATATATAAAACTAAATGTAGCCCAGTGACAGCAATTATTGATGTCTTTATAATAATACAGTAATTAGATTAACAACACTGATAGGTCGTACCTATTCCATGAGTGCTGGCCTGTGAGAAAGAGGCGGAAAACTACCACTGAAAATTTAAAAAAAAAATGAATATAATAAATGATTTCAAGGAAAACTGCAAAAAACACTTGCAGAACAATGTGCGTTACCATATCGTCACTTGAAGCGTATTCTTTGATTTTATGTTGCGCAGGTTTTTTAATAAAAAAAAACCCACATTAATGCCTTCATTTAATTCAGTGTATTGTCTAATC